AGGAAGGAAGGAAGGAAGGAAGGAAGGAAGGAAAGGAGGGAGGGGAGGGATGCAGCCCTGACCAGCCCACCTGAGACCCCTTCAGAGCCCACAATAGACAGTCTCAGATGGGCTGTGCAGCATCTATGGTGGGCTTTGCAGGGTCACTCTCAGGTGGGTCCTGTGTCCAGCGCGTCACTAAGCCCTGCGTCCAGCGCGTCACTAAGCCCTGCGTCCAGCGGCACGGGGGGGGGGGCCCGGCCTAAAGCCGCGTAAGGGGACACAAAATTTCTGATGGCTGCCCTGTGTGTTCGTCACCCGAAGCGGAGTTCGCGAACGGAAGCAACATTTTGCAAAACTTCCTTTTCGCGAACCGAGGTACCAGAGTGGTTTATAATGAGCATTAGTTTAGAAGGCATACATCTATGAAGAATGTTAGTTTATACAAAGTATTCCTTCATGGACACCAATAGTTTATATATAGACCATAGGTTTATGGAGAGGGTTGGTTGATGGAGACCATTAGTTTCCCCAGAAGGTTAACCAGTTGGTGTGTCTATTGCTCTCCAGCTCTGCGTCTGGTTATAATATAGAAAGTCCCTTTTCTCTATTGATCCCGTGACATCTGCGCTTTTCTCTGACTCCTCTCTCCCACATAAATGTGTGAATAAGTGTCCCCCTCCATCTTCCTCTGACGGACAGGCAGATGTGCCGTTTGCGCACCAAGGAACTCAACACAACCACATCAAAACCATTCACGCTGGTTTCCCGTGTAGCGGAAGCACCTTACAGATGGAGATGAATAATTTGTGAAGGAGAAAAAAAGAAAAAGGCATTAGTGAGAGTTTCATGGTCTGTCTCTCTGTGAAGGACATTTTAGTGAGCTTACTCTGGATCACAGCCAGCTGAGACTGTAAAACGAGACCGTAAGAGGGGCAGAAGTAGAAGTGATGGAGAAGGGAATCTTGAACGGCTGATGTTACATTTACAGAATCACTTCAGTCAATAAATAAAATCATTGTATGGCTGATGCAATTTACATAACTCTGCAACTGTTAAAAGTCAGAAAGTCCCAATTTACCATTGTTGCTGTTTCAGGCAGGACCGTGGCCTCTTGCCGGTCATTCTGTGCCATATAATTGTCCTTTTTTCAGAAATTAAGTTCCCTCCAGATTAGGAATGCACCTATATATCGGCCGCCGAAACATATTGGCCGAAAATGGCACTTTTGGCTAAATGCCGAAAGTGCCATTTTGGCACCGATACATCGGCGCATCCCAGGTTTCTTTCCTCCCCGCTGGGCGCTGCTCTGTGTCCCAGCGGGGAGGAGAGAAAGTGACAGCCGCCCGAGCATTGCAGGAAGAGAGCGCTGTGAGCGGCCAGAGTCTCTCCTCCCACACCGCTCAGCCGCCTGTCACAGTCCGGCAGAGCGGTGTGGGGGCGGAGACAGCGCTGTCGCAGGAGGCTGAGCTCTCCAACTGCACCGCTCGCTCAGCCTCTTGTGTGTGTCAGAGAGGAGAGCGGGTACAAGCAGTCAGTGATCAGTGATCGCCGAGTGTTTGTAGATAATTGAGGACATAGCATGTTGACTATATCCTCAATTATGAATGAATGGGAAGTGATCTACATCCCCTCCTGTTCATTCATGATTGTGGTTATAGTAAACACACTCTGTCCTCATGTTATGAATGAACAGGAACACTCAGTATAGAGGATTCCTGTTTGTTGATAACTGGGGCTGCGGAAAAAGAGATTGAGGACTCTGTGTGTTTCTGAGGACTCTGTGTGTCTCTGAGGACTCTGTGTGTCTCTGAGGACTCTGTGGGGGTGATTTACTAACCTAATCACATGCACGCACCAGGTGCGTGTTTAAATATTAAAAAATTTAAACGTTTATAAAAATATATATATATATATATATATATATGTTAAAAACATTTGAAAAAAATCAAAATAAAAACATTTTCGGTTTCGGCCTGACAATTTTTATTTCGGTTTTGTTTCAGTTTTTAAATTTCTATTGCGGTGCACCTCTACTCCAGATTATACTGTAAGGAATCTTCTGCTGGGTGGGTTGATTTGGGTTGGTGGGTGTTTGCTCTTAATCTATTTTGGGAAGGGGGGGGGTGCGGTGCTTTTAGACCTTCTTTTCCTAGTAATGTAAACTGGGGTAATGCATTGTTTACTGATATATTCTACCTTTCATGTATCTCACCTTTGTAGGTCAGGAGCGTATTGGTCAAGACTCCCCGTATGAACAGGATGGACGAGTCCAGTTTGTGGTAGACGCTGTGTATGCCATGGCTCACGCCCTGCACAATATGATAAAAGACCTCTGCCCGGGTTCTTCCGGACTTTGCCCAGCTGTGGACCCCCCAGTGGGGAAGAAGCTTCTGAAATACATCCGAAACGTCAACTTTAATGGTAAGAGTTACTCTAATATGAAATGTCTTATATCTTGCCACTGAACCTACAGGAACCTACCTGTGCTCTGCTCATGTGTTTTCTTGTTAGGGCTTAAGTCTCCGGCTGTCCTCTCTGGGTTCTGGTGCCTTCCTGTTGCACTTGCTGCTGGCCCAACTGCACTACCTTGGTCCTGCTGCCTGTCTGTTTCTGTTCTTTGCTCCTTTTCCTGCAGTCCTTTCTGGCTTTCATTTCACTGCAGACCCCTCATCTGTCGCCGTTTATAAGCAGTTCAGCTGAACAGGCTGAAAACTGGCACAAAAACCTGCATCTGAACATTGTTGAAACCATTAGTGAGTGAATCCGAGTGAGCGATTTGGCAGCCAGGAAAACTGCAACACCTATGTATAGGGACTTCTACGGGGGCTGTAGGGACATCATTGGCCATAAAGGGTCATTTTATTATAATAGATGATGACATCTAGGGATTTCCCTGATGATGTTTAAAAATCAAAGTGAAAGTACAGATTTAATAACAAAAAGGGATGAAACAATGTAGGGTTCCCCTTAGTATTGTATTCAGACCCCTGTCCAGGCATGCAGCCTGGGTGGCCAGGAAAGCAAGGGCAGTGACTGTGTCTCTCCCCCCTTCCTGTGCCAGGAAAGCAAGGGCAGTGACTGTGTCTCTCCCCCCTTCCTGTGCCAGGAAAGCAAGGGCAGTGACTGTGTCTCTCCCCCCTTCCTGTGCCAGGAAAGCAAGGGCAGTGACTGTGTCTCTCCCCCCTTCCCTATGCCTTTCAACATTAGAAGGCAAGGAGGCAGGGCAGCAAAGCCCCTATTTGCTTTTGCATTCTATCTAGCGTTGCCACCTTTCCAGGATTCACCCGGACAGTCCGGGTTTTGAATGCTGTGTCCAGGTTTCATGGCAGCAGAAAACCGGACACAAGTTGTCATATAGACAAGGGCAACCAAAATTAAGATAAGGGCTACTGGCCCCCCAGGGGAAATAGTCTCAACTGTGATATTTACATATGAATGGGCGGCGCTTTTTACATATTAATAAGCCGCGACTCATTCTCCCAAAAAAATGTCCGCGTGTCGCTAGAGTGTTCGGGTTTCTCTTGAAAAAAAGGTGGCAACCCTAATTCAATCCTTGTCCCAAGGTGGAAGAACAAGGGCTTCTTCCTAGACTTGTGCGCCGTCAAAAAATTAGTTCCGTTTCGGAATATCCGTTATTTCGTATTTCGTAATTCGTATCCGAAACTCAATTTGGATTCATCCGAAATACGAATTTTCGTTAGTTTCGGCACATTTTCGTAACTTTATGAACATTCGTCATCATGAAGTTAAAAAGCAAAAATACCTTTGTTAATATTGGAGTCGATGTGGTAGTTGTTTTTTTATCCGAAATACGAATTCCGTTAACGAATTCCGGATCTGAATTTCGTATTTCGGACTTAAAAAAAACTACCATCAACTCCAATATAAATGTACTTTGCTTTTTAACTTCAATATAACGAATGTTCGTAACGGAACGAAAATACGTCAACGGAATTTCGTATTTCCGGCCTGTGTATTGTAATGTAACCCTCAGCAGCAGCGGATTCGTATTTCAGATTTAAAAAAAAAATCTTGTCATGTTGTTCAACCTCATTTACAGGGGTAATATTTGTTCCTGTTTCAAAGAAATTCGGATCCGAAATTTCGTATTTCAGATATAATTCGGAAACTGCAATTCGGATTTCGCATGCTTCCGAATTTACGAATTTCAGGAAAATTCGTACGAATTTCGATTCGTAACGGAACGAATCGCACATTGTGACGACATGGTGATCAGTTTATAAGTTAAATGTGTATTGGGGTTGAGTTGTGTTTGAGTGCGTTATGCTGTGTGACCTGGTTATGGAAAGACTATCAGCACCATCCCTCGTTCTCTGAGGGAGCTCAGAACAATGACATTCTGGCCAGGCTCCTGCTATGGCTGTCTGGAGCTCGTTAGCAGGTGGACACCTGTGGTGTTGAGCAGACCGATGGTCTGGGAGTAGGGGAGGGTGGATGTGATGGGATTATATTCTGATTTCATCACTTTCTGTATAAAAGTTTGTGCAGTTTCTCAATAAACCAGAGTTTGTTTACCCTACACTCAAGCCTTGGCTAGTGACTGGGGAAACTGGGAGCTAAGGATCTTCAGGTTCCAATATCTCCTCAGCAAGGAAGAAGACAGCGGCGGACATACTCATCCTGAGTACGGGGGTCCGTCACACACATGTCTACTTCTTCCCCACATCTGCGTGCTGCCAATAGGAGGCGGGAGTAATAGTAAACTTGGGGAGGATTACATTTATGGTGGAATATGGAAGGCCCCTTATAATGAGAGTTGAGTGGAAAAGTGTAGGATCCCTCATAGGCCAGACAAGTGGATGCAGAAGAAAGACTAAAAGGTAATGCTGCAATACTCCAGTGGAGCTGTGGATGGCTGTATACCTTCTCTTGTGCCCAATACTGTCCACACATGCTAAGAGTGCAGTGCCCAAACCAGCGTGCAATATTGTCAATTTGTGTAATGGGAGATGGGGGAACCTGTCCGGGTTGAATTCGCTAGGGGTTCAGTGCATCCTGTTTAAAATTTGGTGAACCCAAGCTTAGTGGTGAATCCAATTGAAGCCTGTCGGGGGAGGATCCTGTTATTAAAGAAGAACTATGAGGTGAGTGATTTCCACTCACCTCATAGTTCTAGCCGACCTGTGACAATGAGACTGTCACAGGTCGGCTCAGTAGATCGGGAGGTGAGCGAACACATACCGGCGTTCGCTCACCTCTCGATTCTGGCATGGCTCTCTGCCGTGACAGGGGAGGGGCTGGATTCCCCCCTCCCCGCTCCGACCCGCCAGCGCTGACTGACGGAACGGACGGGGGAGGGGGCGGGTACAGCTGGCTCTGCCTCTAGATAGGCAGAGCCAGCTGTCAGTCACGCAGCTGGGCGGATCCCGGCACAATTGTCGGGATCCGCTTCAGCTGCGGCGTCTCAGTATATAGAGAGCTACAGCTCGCGGTATACTGAGCCTAGGGTGACGGGAGGACGGTAGTTTGTGTCCTCCTGTTACCCTAAGGAGAACTATGGAGAAAAGACTTAACCCCATAGCTCTCCTTTTAAACTCCGGCCATTTTTAGGGGTTACATACAACAGCATCACGCCAAATCTGATTCGATTCAGTTAAAAAAAATGCTTTTTTTTTCAGGTAGCTTTAGCAGAGACACATGCTTTATCATCAAGTTGTAATAGACTCGCTTTGATCAGCAGAGAGAAATCGGGCCACTAGTTCGCTGTTGCTGTCCATTTTCTCACTATTGCAGAACTTTGCTGCCACTGGCCAATTTCTATAAAACTCTCATTAAGAATTAAGAGCCCGCAGAGGATACAGCAGTATAAACGTAGCAAGCAGCAGGAGGCTTTTAATGAGGGAGATTTGGCTGAAATGTAATAGAAGAAAGAGTGCAGACGGGGGTTTTACCCTTAGAATTAAGAGACCCCAGATGGTGCAGAAGTGTAAAATTGACCAGCAGCAGGGCAGCTTTAAATAGCAAGGTTAGGCCCAAATTTACTAGAAGCAAAGGACTTGGGTTGGGGCTTTACTACAAGAATTAAAATACTGCAAAGGACGCGCAGTGTAAAATCGACCAGCAGCAGGGCAGTTTTAGGGCTTATTCACACCTTATACAGTGCGTTCGCTGCTGGAACGCACTGTACCGCATCCAGGCTGGCTCCCTGCATTCTGGAGTGGGAGGGGGCATGGCGGTGCATTGAAGCCAATGGCACCGCAGCCATGCCCACCGTCTGCAGTGTGATCGGCCGCATCAGTACATGTGGCACGTCAATGCTTGCGTTCCGGTCTAGTGCGATTGGGAAAAATAGTGCATGCAGTGTTTTTCCTGATCGTACTGCATTGGAACAGAGGGCATTCCTGTACTTTGCATTCTGGTGCGGGCGATCGTACTGCGGGCTGGGGGGCGTGCCTGCGTTGCCATTGACATGAATGGTACTGACACGCCCCTTCCGCCCCAGAAAGCTGCCCGGTTTTGATCTATGCGATCCAGTGCATTCCGGGCTTGAACCGCATCGGAACGCACTGGATATGGTGTGAGTGGGTCCTTAATCAAGGATAATAGGCCTAACCGGTGTATGCCTAACTTTTCCACTATTTATGAAGATTGGGGTACCCCTAAAACAAAAGCCCATATTTTTTTAAGGGAAGCCTAGCACCAAAAAAAAACAAACAAAAAACAGTTTACCCTAAAATAAAGGCCTTATCAACACTAAGGCTGCTATGTTACTTATCATGCTGCTCTTAACATTGGAGATTTTTTTACCACTTTACTCTAAAGCTTTCAGTGTGCCTGAGTACCGGAAACATCTTCAATGTTAATGAGTCCCGTGTATAAAAACCTCACTTCTTTCTTCAATAAAAAGCCAAAGAGTGAAATAAAGTCAATTTTCCGCCATTCCTCGCGGTCATATCCAGCTCAGCCTGCTATACATTATTGCACTATACATTTCGGCGATTTCTTTAATAATTCTCTCCATTTCCTGCCATCCGTAATTGAGCTCATTTTGGTCATTTGGATGGCATTGTCAGGCAGGAGGCCGGCGGCTCTGTTCTGGCTAAAACACGAGAAGAAGGGTTTTGTGTCCTCCCGCTAATGCCCCGTGTCAACA